CCCCTGGGTACTTACCTCGGCTGCCCTCCTCTGCGGGATGTGAGATTCCCTCCTCTTCACTGCTCTGCTCACAGGATCTGGCTGCTGTTCCTGGGACTGTCCAGCAGATGGCACCTGGAACTCCTGCAAGACTGAATGGTGTTGAAAATACACTTACCTCAATTCTGCCAGGTTCTTCCTCATTTCCTTTGCCGCTGGTTTGCCCAATGGGCATTGGCTGGTGAGTATGGTGCTATTTCTTGCTTACAGTCAGGGGATCCCTCGCTGGGGGTTCCCATCGGGTCTTCAAGGTTGTCTGGGTCAGTGGGAATAGGGGGCGCAAGCATGCAGGGAGTCTCCCCTACCGCAACGGTTGCTGTAGGTGTGATATTAGGAACCGTTGCGGTCCTGCAACGACGTGTGATTCTCTGGGCGTTTTCACTGTGGCGCGAGAGTCCGCTTATTGGGGCTGAGACGCATTTTAATCTGGCTAGTGTCATGGGGGAAGAGGCACCTCACAAGTGCTCTGCATTGTTCTGCTACCAGGACACCATTTGGAGTGACAAGCAATTTCGTCAACATTTGGCGTTGCGCCACTCAATTTTCTGGGACCACATGGACATGGCATCTGGCTCCACATTATGACCTGTGCCACAGCAGGGTGGTTTCTTGTACTTTCTTGGGGAGGCTGGTGGGGGCGGATCATTCACCTCCCCGGCAGGGCGGCAGAGGTCAGGCTGTTGTTGCACTTTCTGACAATAATTGTACATGGGGTGCCTCGTGCACCGAATGCTACGCCTGCGGGGTTGCTCATTCCATCTTCTGGTGTTTCCGACGGGGACGAGCTAGTGAGACAGGGGATCTGGGTACTACAGGCAATGACGCCAGTTGTCGTAAGCTCAACGTGCCCATGGCTCGTTCGTTCTAAGATCTGTTGAGCAACCATCGTCCTGTTTGAAGGCTGTGGGCACGGGTTTTGGATTCCTTTCTCTTTCGCTCCCCCCCCCCTTCGTTGCTGGTTCAGAGGGTATGGGTGTTTGGCTGTTGCACTTTTCCTTTGTGGAGAACTGTGAGCTGCGCCCAGTATGCACGGGCCCTCTTTTGGGTTATGTGGATGGGATCTTTTCTTTCCCATTCCTAATTCTTTGGTTCTTTCACTCAAGTTTGCATGTGGTGCTGAGGACCAGGAGGGGGTATGGTGAGTTTGCTCAGTGAAGTAATGCTGGTTTCGTAGAATTTGTTCAATCCTTGGGGGGTTGCGGGTTCAATTCTCAACAGCAGTGGCTCAACCATTCATTCCTTTGAGGTAGATAATTGAGTACCAGTACTTTAGGTAACAGTAACAATTCACAGGATGCACTTGGAAAACAGAAAATATCTGGATGTCTTTTTCCTGGTTATACTCCCAGGTGACATGTGGGTATCCGTCCAGGAGGTTGTGCGCCTCCTGAAGTGGGGGTTTGTTGGTTTGGAGCCGGAGGTATGAAATGGGTTCGTTCCTAATGTTCAGGTTATCCACCTGGGGGATATTGAGCTTGGGACGATACCAATGTGGCGTTTGGCGTTTGCCCCTAAGAGGGTATTGGTGCGTGTTTTATTTGTTTGTGATGCGTGGTGTTGGGTTCACTGTATGATACTATGTGTTATGTTATATATGTTAAGTTATGGTTATTTTTGTTTAACGTTTTGGTTACAGAAAAGAAGGGAGATTATTAAAATGAATTCTGGATGTGTTATACAGTATTTGTCATATGTTATAATAAATGCAGTTCCAAAAAAAACAAAAACAAAAAACTTGATTGGTCGGAGGTCATTTCCCGTATCCTTTGGCAGTGGGCCCATAATCAGTGCTTGGTACGCTGCCGTATGAAGCAAAAATTGGAGGGGCTCTAGGTGTGTTTGAGGGTAAGGGGATTTTGGTTCACCATGGAGTGTTTTCGCACGCATGGCAGCTAATGTGTTTCTGGGTGATGGAGGTCGGGCTCGACCTTTTTTTTTTTTTTTTCAGCTTGCCATGCAGGTTTAAAACAGCTGGGTTTGTGGTGGGGCGTGTGTCCTTGCCAACAGGGTTGGGGAGCAGATGGAATGTGAGGAGATGGACAAGGTATTCACTGGAATTCGTTGCTCTGTAAGGTAAACTTTCAAGTTACTGAATTGGACGTGCCCACCGAGCAAAAAGCCGGCTGGTGGTAGAGCATTTAAGATGATGGGAATTTTGGTTTGGACGAGGGGGGAGGCGAGATACCAGTGGGTAAAGTTTTTGGTGCATAGGCACCTGGTTAAGTTCGTTGGCAAGGACGGTTATTTAAGTTGGAGGCTGTAGGGCAATAAGTGTTAATTTATATGCTAATTATGGTATGTATATATTTATGTGTTTATTTATATTTGAATTAAAGGAAAAATAATTCAGATGAGTCCTACAGTTGTAAGTTTAATAAATGCTGTGGCCTGTTTCATCCAATATTCGTTGTTTGACGTTATTGGGGGGAGAATTGGGATAGTCTCCTTACTCTTAGTCGCACAACATTCCCCGCTACGTACATACATGTTATAGACAACAAACTATGCAACAATGTGCAAAGTCAATCAGCAGTGGCCAAGGCCAGTAAGGTATTGTCATGCATTGAAAAGGGCATTCATTCTCGGGATGAGAATATCATTTTGCCTCTTTATAAATCACTAGTTAGACCACATCTTCAATATGCTGTGCAATTTGGGCACCTGTTCTGAAGAAGAATATTATGGCACTAGAAAAAGTGCAGAGGCGGGCTACAAAATTAATAAAATAAATGGAACTTATCAGCTATGAAGAAAGGTTAACAAATTTAAACCTATTTAGTTTAGAAAAACATTGAGGGGATATGATAACATTATACAAATATATTCGGGGCCAA